GCAGTACTCCTCCAGATGAATCTTGTCTAGGATCTTAGAACTTGCTGTTTTTGAGGACTTAGTATTTAACTTTAATATATTTTGTACTAATTTAAGTTTGTGTGGCACGAAACATTTCAGTGTTTTTAAAGAACAATGAGCTATGACTGCACAATACTGGACAAAATTGCCGTTCCAATATTTCTTTCTGCGATACATTGCATTATTAAAAATTTTTTTTATTTCAGATAAATAAAATGAAATGTTCAAATGTTCTTTTTAAATACGATGAGGCATGCCCCACTGCTATTTTTAACTCCCAATACAGATTCCTTTACGTGGGCTGTGGGTATCTGCTGCTGCCGAATAGTAAACTGATACCAGTGTTGGATGAATAAGCTGTATTCCTCACTGTGAGGATGAGGCTGGGAATCATGTAAGGCACCATCAGGTTTTCCTAACTATGAAAAATAATATTAAATTATTCTACATTCATGCTGTTCGACTTCCAGCTCAAGAATGCTTAAGCCAGTTTAGGGCTGATTGAGGTCTTTACATGAAAGAGTAAATGGATCCCCAACAGATCGGACCAACACAATAAATAAACTTTTTTGATATCACGTAAACTTTCTGATTGCTTGTTAGCTTTTTTTGTTCACCCCTGTCATACAGAAACACCACAGCTGATGATACACTCTTTGGTTTACGCCTTCATTGTTTCACTATGTGTGATTCAATCAGGAGGTGACTGACTCATGCTTACAGGACATGTAGTAATAGAAAGAGTTCATTGTCTGTAGTCAGCGGGTGGCTTACTCATGAAAAGTGAATCATTCCCTGGGTCATTTCTCTTTATTTCTACCTCACTCACAATGTGATCTCTCTGATCATTAATAACTGGATTCGTTATGAACCATCTGCTTCAACCCCCCAACAGCATCTCATAACCACAACCACACATAACAGGGGGGGTAAAATAGGTTAATCAACCCTCTAATGCAGTCATTACTGTTTTACTTATTTCCCTTTATACCTAGATTAAGTTCTATTCATGCATACTATTAAAACCATTTAATTTCAGTCAAAACCACATATTGCACTTTGTTTTCAGACACTTTGGAGACCCTTCTTAAGACTCTTGTACAAAGGCCATTAAAGGTCACATATTATTCTCATTTTCAACCAGTTTAAATAAGTCTCAGAGGTTCACAAAACATGTCTGTGAAGTTTCTTTCTAAAAATCCACTCCTGTATTTGATCATGCCTATAAACCCCTCTATTTCAGCCCTGCTCAGAACAGGCTGTTTCTGTGTCTGTACCTTTAAATGTAAATGAGCTGTGTCTGACCACGCCCCCTCTCTGGAAGGGCTTTGGTGGCTTGGGCTTTCTTGCACCATGCCCTATTGTTTACGGTGAGAAGGCAGACTCAGAGGGCAGAACAAACACCTAGCTGTGGAAGTGTCACCCACCTGGGGGAGGGGTTACTGCCCTTTGTGATGTCATGAAGGGAAAATCTTCAAACGGCCTGTTTGAGCACACATTTTCTGAAAAGTGGAGCAGGCTAAAGTAGGAGAGGATGGACTTTTCTCTCATATGTGCCCTTTAAAGGAGGAAAATACAGACTAGATATGATGTAACTCAAGTTCCTCTTAGTTGTTTTCAAGATTCATGCAGAACTTGTGTCAGATTATGTATCCATTCAACTGTATTAGTATGGCCCCCCTCTTTGGCGGTTTTTTCTCTAAGTTTAATTGGATCCAGCTCTAGCCACAAAAAGGCAGCCCATTCTTTAAATTCCGATGTTTCTAATATCTAAATTACAGCTGGAAGCTCTGAGCTGATCTGCATTATTGGTTTTCAGGGAATTTTAATGATGAAACATCAGCGCTACATCCCCTTTTGACCGCAACCACAGACTGACTGTTATAGATTAATGTTTAACAGTGTTGATGCCTCTAATTTGGCATTTTTTTCTGAGGCCATCTTGGTTTTTTTCAGAGCCAGAAGTGACCTTACTTGGAGGGTGGAGCTGTATAGGCAAAGGTTTGCAGATAATTCAGCTTGAGAAAGGTTCATCTGTAATTTAAAGTATTGTCAAATATTGGGATGCTTATTTTGGATTGCATAAAACAGGCTTTAAGTAAAAGTTGCTGACTGAAAAACTAAATCCTAACACATGGGTTAGTATGACCCATGTCTCATGTTTTATCATGAGATCTGATTCCATAGAGGTCTATGAGAAAATAACCCCACTTCTCATGTGATTAATTACTTCAGTAAACATTTTTGTAATATGTTAATGATATCAGTCACTATACTCAAGTCCAGCAAAATGACAAACTTAAGTTTTTAAAACAGGAAGTAGAGACACAGTTGGTTTATTTTACTGTAACCACATCCACTTCTTACGATTCAGTTGGATACTTTGTTTGAAAAATTCCTGGATTTCACCAAATACACTGCGAGGCACGTTAAAAAAAAAAAAAAAGAAGTAATATCATGTAATGAGGGATGATTGTCTGACGAACCCAAAGGAGATCAATTAAAGCTTGATTTAGCATGGTATATTAATTAAATAAACACACTTTATTATAATTGAATCAATCTAAAGGATTTTGATAGACTGCTCTTTTTTTAATTCATCAGAGAGTGAACAAAGCCTCTTTTTGTTTTCTTGGAGTTAAATACAGTTTGGCCTTTTGGGGCCTAATTTTCCTCATTAGACTTAACATCATTACAGTCTTGGCAGTGTGACAGTGGAACATGTGTAAACAGAGATGTTGATGCTGAATCAGTTTTATTGTTTCTGGTTTAATGATAGCAGACGGGCACCACTCTGACACTCGATTAACTCTACAGTTTACTGAACAGCACGTCAGTTACAAAGTACCTGAAAACTCAAGTGTACAAACGTATGTATCTGCATGCAAAGTGAAACACACTGCATTGGTAAACACGCCACAGTCACTGTGCAAGGTGACTCAGCCTGTGTAGTAAACACACACTGCTGTCGCTGCACATCTCCAGATGTTGCTCCTCCACTCTCCCCCTCGCTGTGCCCCAGATATTTAGTTCTCCTCTCTTGCGTCTGTGACTTTGGCGGTCTGTATTTTATTCTAACTTTTTCTAACTTTTTTCCTCCCCCCCCCTCCTAATCTACCTGCACACTCAGCATTATAAACTTTTCCGGCAATCAATAAGCAGGGTAGAGTGCAGGTCTGCAGGAGGACCTACAGACATCCACAGTTGAATAGAGGGGTTCAGCAACTTTATGTGCTTTAAGCTGACTACCTGAATATACTGAATGACTAGGTTTTCACATCATTGATTTATTTCCATGATTGCACAGGCATAGTTCAAGATGACAACAGCAGGATTCATCAGGCTCAGATTGTGACTGAGTGGTTCAGGGAGCATGAGATCATTATCACATATGGATTGGCAGCGTGTTGATACAGCAGGAACAAAATAAGTCGCACACACAGGTTTAGCAGTCAGGAATGTAAGACTGCTTTTTTGCAGGACAAATGCTTTAGAGTCTCTGAAGGAAAGAGTCCAAAGGTTTCCACAATCTCCAGAATTTGTCAGTTTAATGATTGAGGTCATGAGTCAGTTTCTCTGAAGGCAACAGGCCTGTGATTTGTGATATCCACACGTCGACAATTAGGACCCTCAGAGCAGACCAATAAAACAAGATACTTTTTTTGCCTAAAAAAAAGGAAAATTTTAATAATTGTTACATCCCAGTTAAAAAGGTCCTTTGTACTTTCTACCCATATTTTTTTTGTTAAAATTCTTTTTAAACATGCTTTAAACTCCCCGGAAAGCACTTTGTCGCTATGTTAACAAGAGTGATGTAAAGATAAAAAATAAAAAAAACGTTACTTCAGTTCAGCTGAAAGTGAAAATAATGATCACTTTTTCTTTAAAAAAAAAAAACACTCAACATTAAAATTCCTGCATAATCTAACTTGTGTGTTTTGTGTGCATGACACCTCAAATAAACCTGATAAAACCTCAGGTCTTCTTCTTGATGGTCAGGGATTACAAAGCAAGCGGCATCAATATATGTTCAGGTAGATAGTGAATAAATAGACGATGTGAGAAGAAAATAATAATAAGAACTTTGGCTACCCATTATGATCATACATATAATGCCTTTTGCATGCATGTTGTGTAGATTTGTTCAAGCTTTATATTTGTATTTATACCCCTACAGACAAGCATACTATAAAAACCACAGCTACTGAAGCAGAAACCAAACAGCATGTGGAGGAGTATGTAGGACTCATATATTACCTTGACGGACATTTGATAGCAATCATTCAAATTTTATTCAAATTAATTTGAATTCTTGTCAGTGACTCATTCATTATTTAAGATAATATCAGCAGCTAGTTAGTGCAGCTTCCCTCCACAACTTATTTTATAAAGAGAAATCCTCGGTTGTGCTAGTCAACTTTATTAAAATGTGAAGTTTCAGAGATCCAGTCTTTGCTCATCTTCCAGCGGCAACCATGTTGACTCAGTGATGGTGCACAAAAAGAGCAGTTTAGAAATACCTCTTTTCTTTTTAAAGCCTGTCTTCATCTTGCCTCTTAAAGTGTTTAACTTGCATCTTAAAAACATAATTAACTATTTGCTCACAGGACTTGAAGAAAAACAAAAGTTCAAAGATGCAGATAACGGCCAGGCATCCTGGCGTAAGACTTATATCAATACTACTTGCCTAACTATATTCCACATCAGGGAAATCATTCAAACATTCAAACAAGGGTCAAGTCTGTATTTGTGGATCTCTTCTGAATCACATTAATAAAACTGCAGACTTGCAGTGTAACACACCTGAAACTGTTGTGATTATTGTTGGAATCACAGTGAGCATCCAGGCATCACACACATACCAACATAACCTCTGTAAATATGACAAACGCATACATTTTAGACCATATAAACAGAACTGAATAATGCAACTACTGTCCTAACTGTGTGTTTTGTGTGTGTGTGTGTGTGTGTTTCAGCTCGTACTGGGGAGGTGATGGGGGAGTTTGGGCGTCTCTATGAGCAGCAGTATGCAGTGGCTCTCTTTAACAAAGTTCGCTTTGACATAGAAGGAGGAGGCGGCCCGCAACCCCAGCTGCTGCACCGCAAGGTAACCCCCCCCCCCACACACACACACACACCTTTCGGCACAACTGTGTACACTGACTTCCAACTCTGTATTTACTCGGCAGCAAAAATGTCCAAACAAGCTGCCAATATGTATCCTAACTTTTCAAAAATCACAACTCTATGAAGAACAGATGTGCTCAGAGAGGAAAGGGAGATGAAATGTTTTCTAGGTTTTCTGCACACAGAGGGACTCAAATAACACATTTTCAGGACAAAGAGGTAGAAGCTGTGCAAATAATCTCAATGTCATAGTTGTTGTTTCATGTGCTTTTGCCATGAACACATCTCAGAGTCTGGATTTATTGCAGTCAGTAAGAAGAAGTTGGTGCCAGTTTAATGATAAATGGCTTTATTTTGGGTTCAGGAGAAACATGTTGACACGTGTGTGTTCTGTCAAACAAGAAGAATAGCAGGTAGATAGAGATATAGCAAATATGCACTCTTTTGTTTATTTATTGCACCACATTATCATAAAATTCAACAATGTTATCATCACGCCTCACACATTTTTCTCCGATCGTGCAGCACTACAACGTGTTAACTGTTGCCTAGCACAGCAAAGCAGTTTCTCTCCCAGTGAGGGGATGAGTGAAATACAAACAGGCCTGTGTCACACGAAGATGCATGATGTAATGCACCTCCTCCGGGTGATCTGGACCAGTTCAAAGAAGTCCCCTCTCAACGCTGATAAATGTATCAAGACTCAGAATGTATCTCCTGATTAAAGACAACAATTCTCACAAATGTCTAATATGAAAAAAGAGGAAGTGATGTCATCTTCTTTCCAAAAGGTGAAAGGTCAATCTCAGTGTGATTTTATGATGTTCAGTGAGAACACTTTTCCAGTCTCTATCACACACCATAACTGAGAGCGAAACACACCACAGGCTCAGTAAACCAAAATATGATTCACTATGATTTTTCTTATTTGGGCAGAAACGGGATTCTTAATGAAGCTAGAGATTTATTATTATTTACAGCAAACATTTTCCTTTTAGTAAGAAAGCCTCGTCTTGCCTCAGCTTGGTTAAAAGCTGTTGTGTGAAATCCAGTGTTTCTAAGGATAAAGACACAGACTATGAACAACCTGTCTTTTCTCTTTTGTGACCCACAGGTTCCTCTGGAGAACAAGTCCATCTTCTCCGGCTCGCTCTTTCAGTACCTCGAGGAGAACAAGAAATGGAGGAACCGCTTCCTCTTCGTTCCAGACTCCTACAACATCAACTACTACGACAACAAAGCCGTGAGTAAAAAATAAAATAAAAACAAAACTGTCTCTTTCCCATGATGTTGGTTTGAATCTTTGTCTAACATATGAACCACGCTCCCTGTCTGAACCACCAGTCCCACGACAGACACCTCAACCCCAAAGGAACCATCAACTGTGCCGGATACAAAATGCTGACGTCTATGGATCAGTACCTCGACCTGATTAGTAACAGCCTGCCAGGTGAGGAGGAGGGGGAGGGTGAGGGGGGAAGGGCATTATTATGTTTATCAGGTTGCAACGGTTTCTGATCACATCATCAAATAACCATGAGGCGCTGAAATATATTCGGTATCCAGGAATTGCAATCCAAATTTTACACTAAGTTTCTGGAAATGTTCTCAGACTTTGAGCCTTTCTGATGACTTCCTAAACAGTTTGTTTGTGTATGTACATGCAGGGGTAAAAAAAAAAAATATATATATATATATTATATATATGAAGAAGTAATACATTTGGAGTCAAAAGTGAAACATGTAAAGAGTGAAAGACTGGCAGTATCTGTAGGGCAGAGAGGCCCTCAGTGAGACTGCTACTCGCATAAATGTCACATTTAATTCATTCAACATGAGAGCAGACTGGATGTGTGTGAACCTGCCAGAGTCTGCAGCTGCTGCTCGCTCTAACACGCTGTGAGAAAATAGTTTATCTATCTGAACGTAGTGATCTTTGGTTATGATCAGATGTGTAATAAAAAATAAATAGATGAATGACGAACGCGATAAAAGATGTAAAAAGCAAACCCACACAACAATAACAGCTACTGTATTTAACACAAAGCACACAGTACATATTTGAACAGGAATAGGAGGCAGTCAACATTTGTTTCATCTTACTATTTATCTACTTTTCAACAGCTGTAAAACAAATGAATCAAAAACTTAAACCAGGTTTCCCAGTCTCTCCTCCTGATTGCATTATGAAGGATAGAAAAGTTTCTCTGTTACCATTAATCAGTTTGGTCATAATCTGTGTTCTTCTATTGATAAAGTTACATTTGGTATTATTTTTAAATCGTAGCGGTAAGGTAGGTGCTGGTGGGTTATAAAAGAATAAGAGGGAAATTTACTTGCATAGTACAGGAAGTCTTCTCGCGTGGCTACAAAAAAAAAAAAGGCGGGGCGTGGCTGTTCCGACCGACGGCGGGGGTGTTGTAGCTGTTTGTCAGGAGGCTTAAGGCCCGCCTACAGCTCCAGCTCTTGTCTGTTGTTAGGCCCACCGAGTCTGAGAGAGCATTTCCAACATTGTGACTGCCATCGATCAACTTCAAAAGTCTGCTTCAGAAACCAGTGGATGACATCACTGAGGCTTCGTCCATTTATTTTTACAGTATATGATAACGTACCAAATGGCATGACCTTTCATGAACACTGAGCATGCTCAGATAACAGTTGACCTCTGAACAACAAGGTGCAGCAGGGCCTGGAATGACTTCCTGTTTGCTTAACCTGGACTAGTCGTGGTTTATTATGTGTTTTTATCCTAAAAAGTGCACTTGATCAGGGTGTGACAAAGTTGGGTGGAGCGAGCCATGACAAAAATAACCAAATGAGGAAGTGAAAAAACACTTTTTCTGTGCTTTCACATTGAATCAGGGTCAGCTGAATTTCATAAGTCTCAGTCATAGGTTTCGAAAACACCAAACTATTTTAGATTCTGTCTCAGCAGCAAAATAGCAGCAAACACATTGAAGGTAGATCTCTCTCTTGTTGCTTTGTTCTCTTTGACACCATCTGTCATAGTGAAAAAGACCCTCACCAGTCTCCAGAAAAACTCGATATTTCTCCTGAATTATTTCCCCGATAAGAGCAGAATGAACATGACATACTGTATTTGGTTTGTCCAAATGATTACATCATTGATGCTTCTTCAAATGACATTTATTTATTAATTTAAAGGAAACTGTAATATCTGTGAGTTTTATTACACATGCAGACCTCCATATGTTTGTTTTCTTCATTTTTTCCAGGTGTTAAAGCCAAAGTGGGAAGTTCACCTTTCCTTAAGTGTGCGACACAGTTCCCTCTGATCCTGTGGCACCCGTATGGCCGTCACTATTACTTCTGTGTAACGACGGAGAAAGAGCAGCAGAAGTGGCACGCTGTCCTGCAGGACTGTGTCCGACACAGCAACGATGGTGAGTCCTGCACACAGATAACATCTGGAAATGATTCATTTATGTTATGCACGGCATTTTGTTAAAAACAGAGTCTTGTCTCTTTCCTTAAGAACAAAAGTAATGCAGCTCAGTCATCACCACATACTGTATGTGGTGGTGACTGGGTCTGCAGAGACCCTGTCCTGGTTCATGGTTCACCCTGTTCATGGTTTGGTTTGTTTTGGTTGACTTGGGCATTTCTGGGAGGGGAGCTGGTGTATTTCCCCAAGCCAAATACAGCGCACAGGTGAGTTTAGGAGTGAGTACAATTCAGCCATTGGACGCATTTTGAAACTGCTGAATATGATGGCCCTGGACTTAGTGGCAAAGGAGAGAAAGTATTATCATAGTGAGTAGGGATGGGAATCTTTGGGTGTCTCACGATTCGATTCGATTGATACTTGGGGTCACGATTCATTTCAGAATCTATTTTCGATTCAAAACGATTCTTGATTCCTTGATCCATGGATTCAAAGTCTATTTTTGATTTAGTACATACTTCAGGATCTACTCCAGTCATTTGTGAGACTGGCTGAATTTCTTGTTACTCCATTTGGCATTCTACTGAGTTAAAGAGCTAGCATTAGCACTTAGCATGGAGTGACTGATTAGCCCCTCAAAAAAAAGAAAAGAAAATAGCTTTTTGGAAGTTATGAATCAATTTTAAATCTCAGAAAGAGAAGAATCTCAATTTTTACATAAATCAAATTTTTTTCCAACCTCTAATAGTCAGGCAAAACCACGTGGATAAAACTCGTTCCAAATCATTGTGAAGCTTCGATTGGCTTTCACCCGCTGACACAGAGTTGGCCACAGGCAGGTGCCAAACACCGGTGGTTACTTTTGCTAGCGTGCAGTAGATTGCATTGTAGGTACAAGCAGTAAACGTACACACTATGCTCTGCAGTGAATGTGCAGTTCCAGGGGCGATGAGCCCAGGAGGAGGGGCCCCGCTTGAATGTTATTTTTACAAGCTGCATCGAAAAGTCTTCTGAACTCTACCTTTAATAAAAGATATACTTTATAATTGATCAAATAAAGGCCTACCAGGAGGACACATTGTGCATGCACATGGTGAAAGAGTATCCCATGATGCTCTGGGACAGGTTTCTGGGATAAATCCTTTGATTTAGTCCGTGCCTTTCCGCAGCTTCAAGATGATGGGAGGGGCTCAACGTTTTCCCACATGTGGTCTCTAGAAGAGACTGACAGTTAAGATCTGCAGTTTAAACATATTGCGTAATGTGCCCTCTGTTTGTTTTTTTTTACCACAGAGACATTTTGTGGAAAAATCGAGATGCAGTGACAGCAGGAATGCTCTGATCTTGGATCAGTGCCTTTAGGGTTTTGTATTGAGGGGACAGAAAGATAAAATGTGATCTGTTTGGAATTTTTGAAATGAAGGAGGATTGACTTACTGTGACTTTTCAGCAGAGTTTATCTCTGTTTGTAAAAAAAATAACTAATGATGCAACAGTCTCTGTTATTTAGCGAGTCTCATCTTGTCTAACATGTTCTGCCCAAAGATTGTCTCATTCATGCAGAGCTCATGCAGAGCCGTCCCTCCAGCGTGAAGCCATGACGGAAACATTTAGGATTTCTTTGCACTCAGTATTTGTTTGAATTGACCAAACATGGTTAGACAGCAGAAAGACCCTCTGCAGTCATCCTCCTAAAGAGTGGGGGTCAATTTAGTTTTTTAAACTCTGCTTGCTTTAGACTGAGTGAATTCTAAAATCTTTGCAGTGTTTGTTACAAACAAGAACATAATCATCGTCAGGGATTCGTTGTATTTCTGCAGGAGGCTGATACTGCTGAGTAACGATTATAAAAAACTAATTGTTGATGATATTGATGGACACAATAATTTAGTCCACAGGTGGCTTAGGGAGATTTTTCTTTAACTTTGGTGTATTCTTATGATTTCTCATCTCTGTGTGTCTGCGCCTCAGTCTGAGCTGGATGTGAATCCTGCTCCTCACTGAAAGTGGAAATAAGAGTAAATACCTGATGGTGTCATACCATGACATATGTACCTGGTTGCCATGGCGCTCAGCTTTGATATGCGTGGTTTAAGAGTTAAGAGGAACCTATCAGGTATAAATGGAGCTCTGTTCTACCTTCACCTGTGCTGTTTACTCTAACAGAGGCTTCATTTACCGACAGGTGCCACAGTTTACCCAGCAGACCTGCACTTATAATCTCAGACACGCACTGTGTGACTGTTGGGGAATGAACAAATAGGTGTTTGTGGCAGTGGGCAGTGTGTGTTAAAATATTAGTACAGAGTGAAGATTAGCACAGCTCTGCAAACAGTGTGATGATGTGCGGAACAAACAGACAAAACCAGAAGAACTAATACAGCCACATTCTGACATCCTGCTTCCAACAATTTAAAATCTCAATCAGGATTTTTTACAGATTCAACTCTCAAAGTTATTTTTAACAAAATAAAAGCGTTATCTTTTTGACTTATAAGCTGAAAAAAAACATTTGAATTTATCTTCTCTGATATGAGAATCTGAATTAGCTTCATGGCCAGGTATGTGAAAACATCACAAACAGGGAATTTGCTTCAACCATAAAAAATATTAAATAAATATGCTTGACACAAGGACAACAAGCCTGACCGAGTTAACTTAAACATGAACATTAAACATAAATAAGGACGATAAAATTAAACACAGTTCAAATACTAAGTATATAACTTATGTATTGCACATACCGCTTCAGTATTTTACTAAGTGTCAACTCTCAGCCCTAGTCAGGCCTTAACATTTACAGTGTTATCAATATAGTAAATTAAATTCACATTTATTGCTCACATCACAACAGTTACATAGTACAAAGTGTTTTGAAATGTTTTTGATACTTGTCCAGCTAAGAGACATTATTTAAAATGTATTTCATGTATATAGAGGTTAAAAAAAAGCTTCCAAGATTACAATAAAAGTTTAAAAAAATATATATTAGAATGTACAAAAATACATAAAAAAGGAGTAAACATTTAAATGTTATATTTGTGTATTTGTCAGATGAATGGTAACAACTACCTACATGTGTTATCCAACAAACAGCACAGCTACAGCTCTAGACTATATAAAGTAGTGACCACACAAACCAAGACAAAGAGGTATCCGAGACCAGAGTGCTGAAGACTGAGACGAGACCAAGACATTTAGGGATCAAGACCAAGAACACACAAACACCAATACAAACCAGTTTGTAAAAGTACAGTTCTATAAGATACAAAGGAGTACAGCCCTGCTTTGCTTCTTGTCAGAACATTAACTTTGAAGTCAAAGGTTTTATATTTGTAAGAGTAAAGTTATTATTAAATGAGACTTATTCAGACAGAGAGTGTTTTCTTCTACTGTCATTTATCACAAACTGTCAAATCGAGGTTGCAGGATTTCTAGTAAACTCACTAACTTGGATTCTTTTCAGCAGGGAGCTCAGTGCTGCCCCCAGTGGCTAGGAGCTGTATTTTGGCTGAATTTACTAATTGAAAGAGTTGACTTATATCTATTGACTGCTGGAGATAATGTCTCCTGCAGGATTACATCTCATAGGTATATTTCATATATAAACTTAATTGTGTTTCAGAGATGCATTGCTTTAAACAGGCCTCTGTGAGGTTTCTGTGTGGTTTCCCCTCTGCTCACTCAGCTGCTCTGGAGTTCAGTCACTATGTAAACCAGCTTAATGGACCTAAAACTATACACACACAAAGATGTTTTCATTATCATCAATCAGTGCAAAGCTTACACTAAATGTTCCACAGCGATCACAGTGAGTCAGAGCTGCTCTTCATGCCACACTGTACTCTGGCAAGGTGAGTTTATTTATGTAGCAGATCTCAGCAACAAGGTGATCCAAACGGCTTTACACGAGATCTCAAAGCAAACGGTGGAGGGAACAAGTTATTAAAACATCTAATAAAACCCCTGAAATATATTTTTTTTTTAAACAAAGACAAAGAAAGAACATATGGCGTCATTCAGCATGACTCTGGCATGGTTAGATTCTTTGGTAATGAAAGGAGCTGAGGGGCCGGAGGCAGCAATGTGTTTTACAGTGAGGACTAACAACGGTACATTGTTTAGAGTGCAGTGTGTAAAAGTCTGCTCTATATAACTCTCTTTAAATTCAGTCTCCTGCTGTCTGTGTACAGGTTTTTTAAGGTTTCTTATAAATAATTACACTACATAAAAAACTTCAGATAGGACACTAGGAAAGCACATTTTTTTGTGCAGCCCTTTCTCACCTCAGGAGCAGAATTAATGTGTGTGTGTAGAGCAAAGACGTGAGGAACCTTAAAAGAGGAAGCAGCAGTAATAGCTAACATGCCTGAGCCGTTACACGAGCCAGCTGCATGACGCATGTGCAACTGAATGACTCCACATGTTGTGTGTGTGGCACACAGAGCAGCGCTCACAGACCGCTCTGTCCAACACGTGTGGGTGCACCCATCTCACCTCAGGTCAACCAGTCATTGTGCTGCACAGTCAGGCTTCAGTCACAGTTACATGATGTGCTGCTGCTGCAGGGCCCGGTTCACCTGTGAGGGCCAAAAGGAACCTGGAAAGGTGTTGATACACCTTCCCTGTTGTTGTTTGTATAACATAGAGCTTGAACTTAAAATTCAAAACATAAATTTAGTAAAATTTTCTTTCATCTTTTTGGTCAATCCAGACTTGGAGACATTTTCAAACTCTAGAGAAGATGTGCTGCTTTTCATGTTAAACCTTTAAAAATGTAAAATACCAAGATCTTTATTCAGGCTGTAGGTTTGTTACAACTATTAAACATCATTTTCTGCATTTCCTGATATTTAAAGTCAGAATAAAGGCGTTAGAACTCCCCTCCAGCACAGGCCCTTAAACTTTATTGTTGATGTAGTTATTTAGTGGTACATGTCTTTAACGCTTTGAACACTGCAGTAGAAACGATACACTAGTGCCAAAACTTATTTCCCTCCCAACCTCCTACTTGAATGTGATAAAAGTTGAGCCCCCCCTCCCCCACTACCCACATGAAAAGTGATGCTACACCGCTGTCAACAACAAATGAACATTAATAAATCGCTTCCAGTGATCACAACCCAAAAGAATCTCGGCCTTCACACACTTGTTCTTACCAGAAGACTTCTGTAAAAACTATCCATTAGAAATAAAATGTTCCTCTAGGACCATTATGCTACAGAAGAGGAAGTATTTAAGAATTAAGAGGAGGGAGAGTAGCAGAGAGCTCTCCCATGATTCCCCGCTAGCCTCAGCGGCATCTTCTGTTGTTGTAGTATTGACTGAGAGCCCGCTGGCGGCAGAATGTACGTGTTGTATCTTTAAGTGGCAGTTCAAATTGACAGAGGTAGTGTGAGAAATAAACAGACCAGCATCGACTACCTGTATTTATGAAGTGAAGTCCAGAATGACTGTACACAGTAAAGTGCAAATACTACCATAAATAGACTGAGAGTCCAGGGTTCTCTACAGTTAATCAAACCAACACAGTCATCTCGGAGCTTCACTCATGCCTTTGTTGTGTTCTTTCAGATATGTTTGTACATACATCCCGGCTGTGGCCACAGTCACACTGTCAGTCTGTGGTGAACTCAGATGATGGAGAATGATTACTTAAATTTGAGTCTCATGATATTGAAGCCACGTAGGGGGGAGGTGTGTGGGGGGGGCAGGCAGGATGACATGAGGATTTTTATAAGGAAGGGGAAGCAGTTACTGTGACATTACATCCTGATTAAAAAAAAAAATATTCAGCATTTATGGTTTTAAATAGATCTGTATCAGACAAGTTTAGTAGCTCAACAAGGCTTAATATAAATTAAAGATGAACATAAAACAGACATACTGAATGGGAATGTCTCTATTGAAGTCAGCATTTTAAACTTTTTCTGTCCAAGATTTGTTGAAATTCAATCTTTACTCCTCCTTGTAGTATACACTTCACAATAACAACAGATGCTCTATCACACAAGTCACCTTTGTTCTGAGTTGTGTTTAAAACTAGTTTGAGGTCAGCTTGTGTGAATTTTGAAACAATCCTCTGGTCAATCCAGCAGATGTGAGCAACAAGCAGTTTGTGCTTTTTATGTTAGAAGACGAGGCTGGAAATCCCAATTTTAGGTTTGTTTGAAATCCCCTAATCAAAATAAAGACCCCCACACACACACACACACACACACACACACACACACACACACACACACACACACACACACTCTTCCTGCCTCTGGTCCCATCAATACCCTACCTCCCCTATATGAACACACACTCATACACACACACTTCCTGGCTTTGTGAGCGTGGGTCTTTCTCACACTCTGTCCAGTATGTCAGAATTTTCTTTATCACACAGCACAGTGTGGACAGTCTGGTTTAAAACAGACTTTTATTTTCTTTGGAGGTCAGACACGCAGAGGAATTTAGAAAAGTTCCTTTTTTAGAAGTCCTCTCTTTCTCACACTCCGTCTGACTCCTGAGAGCAGCCCAGCTGAAACAGCACAAATACAACTTATTATTTGACTAAAGGTGATATATTTAGATATTTATTAATATACTGTGCAGCCAGGTACCTACGTATGAAATGCAAGATGTAAAGAGCAGGAAACGTGGATTTCTTTTGTTGTTGTTTGCTTATTGTTGTTTTGTTTGTGTAGTAACAGACAAAAGTAGAGGTTGACCGATTATTGGCCTGGCCGATTATCGAGGGCTTATATTCAGCATATGGCTGATTATCTGTATCAAAATTGTATTTTACCGGTTACTTTATTTTAATAATTTATTTAGAAAAATGGAGGCATCATGCTTTAATATTTCCCAAACTTCCATAATGATTATGGGTAAAAACGCTAACAGCTAATTAACTTCCCATGTTTCCAGGTTTGTCTGAAGAGGATAAAGTCCAAACACCTGCCTTCACTGACGCAGTACGACTCCACCGCCAGGCTCAAGGGCACTACGGCACCTGGGAGATGATGTGTGGTGTTCCATCACAGGTAAGAACTGTCCTCCGCTCTTATTAATCTGATTGTTTTTTTTTCCTGTTTTAAAAACGGTGTTGTCATATATGCATCAGGGAAGTAGAAATCTGACAGCCTCTCACACGTGTGTATTCATTGTTTCAGCACATCACACATTCACCAGATTCCTGTCTGCACCTGTTTTTATTCTTTAACTTAAGACTGTTTACTCTCTGCTCACTGTTCTCACTTTAGACCTGTTCATGCTATCTGTGCCCTGAAGGCTAAATGAAATGTCTGAATGAAGTGTCGTGCAGGAGTCTATAACTCATGAGACATGAAACAGGTTTTTCTGGTTTCTGTAAACATGCAAATAAATCAGACCACCCCGGTATCATTACAGAAAATGAGAAAGTTTTCAATTTCAACAGCTGATGCTTTTTAAAGAGTTTTTTTTATCTCATAAATATTTATTTATCTTAGAACATTTTTAGAATTGACCTTAGGACCTCTGGCTCCTTTCTTGCATGTCATTCCCAACTCTCTCATCCTGATGTGCTACTAAATCCACTGTCCAAATAAAGGCAAAAAGCCCCAAAATAAAAAAAAAAATAAAAGACTGAAAGGGCAAATTTCTTATTTTACACACAATATTATATTAAGAGATCTATTGAAGTATGAATACATATTTTAAGTTTTATGGAGCCTTTTAATTGCTCCTCAGGGTTAGTGCAAAACTCAGTAATGGGGCTTTCACACTTGCAGAAAACTCCTGAAAAACGTCTGATGTTTCCAGGAGGAGCTGTATGTGTGAATGCAAACAGACACATTTTTCCCTCAGACTTCACCCGGAGTTTCTCCCGCCAGTGGGCTGACGTGAGAACGCAGCAGGATATTATCCGGAGATTCCCCTTATAGCATTGTATAGCGGACTCTGTTACTCCGTCCCCTACTTCCGCTTCTTTTTTTTAATGTCACGTCTAACCTCAGGCGACCCCCGCCATCCCTCCCGTGTGACAGAGATGGTCTCCCGCTGTGAGGAGCATATTTAAACAATGTGTGGAGGATATCTGGAGCAGTCCTCCTGAAATGATCTAGATATTTTCAGTAGTGTGTATGTGAAAACGGCTCCAGTCAGTAAATCTCCTTGACTCAAGTGATGTCACATGAGTCAGCATATTTTCAGTTTGACCTCTACAACTTTGAAAATGAACCAACGACTTCAAGTCTGCTGGAGGCTAAAAGCGTCAGGCTACGTTAGCCATATCTCCAAACAAACTGTTGGTCAGTGAGATGCATAATGGGTAATGGAGAGGAGTAATTAAGAGCAGTAATTATCTCTTCAATCTACTAAAATTGTCATTTTTGTTTCATTTCTTAATTCCTTAATTTCTTTGATAAATCAAGTTTGATTTGATGTATAACAATAGATCACTGCACATCACTTGACATTAAACTGACTGAGAAAGAAGCCAGAAATGAAACGACTGACTGGGAAACTAAAGACTAGTCATGGTGACTTATCCATTTATGATTTCTTATCGTCTTTTCTGTGTAGATTCTGTCCAACCTGGTGATGGAGGGTCTCCTCCCTGAGCTGAGGGAGCTCATCTCCCCCCGCCTCAAAGGGAAACTACACGAGAGGCAGAGGAACTGGATGCTGGTAAGAAATAGCTCCGCAGTTTAGCCATAAAGAAAACCTTTTAAACTCACTTAAATTCTACAGAATATGTTTTTTAAAGACAAAATTGCTAAACGTTTGATCCTCTCCTTCATACCTGTGTTGTGATGAAGATACGGGAGGAGTTATTTTCATTTTAAATCATTAGTTTCAGGGATTTGTTTACTGAAGCTGTGAAACTGAAACGAGTGAGGATGTGTTGAACGTGTTTTCATTGTTCTGTGTGCAGATCAGCGATGCCGTGTACAGTCTGGTGCAGACTCAGTGTCAGGCTCAGTTTGAGGCCGTGCTGCAGAAGTGCGAGGCGGCTCGCTCTTCTCTGGAAGCTTCCATACGAACAGACATGGACCAGATCATCACGTCTAAGGAGCATGTCACCAACAAGATCAAAGGTCAGCCACAGAGCAGATGTTTATATCTGCTGAAATATTGAAGGGCACAAAATAACCCCTTTTATGTGATTTATATTCTGTAATGGTTTTAATATTCAAATGATTCTTTACTGTTAAATGAATTGTGTGGAGTCTGGAGGGACTAATTTAACGTCAGGCTTCCAGAAAACGCTTCTGCTGCCACTTGATCTTTTGTTCAACATTTGATTTTTGTTTACTGAACTGAAAGACTATTCTTATATAATATAACACTGAAACAAATTCATTGATTTAATTTGACAAATACTAACATTAATGAATTCTTAAATCACTACATTTAAAAAAAAAACTGTGCAGTTCAATTTTGAAAATAAGTAATGTAAGAAGAGATTTGACTGAAACTAAAACCGTCCATGTTGACCTCTCAGTAATGTGTACCTCCCTCCCCCTCCAGGTGTGGTTCTCCCCAAGGCGGAGAAGCTGCTGAAGGTGAGCATCCAGCCGTACATCAGCTCCATCCTGGACGCGCTGATGGAGCCGACCAGCCGAGGCTTCTCCGAGGTCCGAGACGTGTTCTTCAGAGAGCTGGTGGACATGAGCAAGAACTCGCTCAACCAGGGCACCAAGGAGACCGTGGCACAGGTGAGGAAGAGGAGGAGGTGGAGGAGGTGGAGGAGGAGGAGATGAGGGTGAGACGTAAGTTTAAAGTGTGTTTGAGGGCAGGGTTGTTGATACGCAGCTGATCCTTGAGAAGTGCAAGCATGAGGCGTATCAGCAAAACTTTCAAGATATGAAGTCTAATGTTGGGTTGTGATTTTGCTCCTCCTCCTCTTCCTCCTCCTACTTCTCCTCCTTCTCCTAATTCCCCCCTTCTCCTCCTCCTGCTCTTTCTCTTCTTCACTCTTTTCCTCCTCCCTTTCTACTCCTTTACCCCCTCCCCCTCCAACTCTTGCTCTTCCTCCTTCTCCTTGTCACCTCCCTCCTCCTCCTCAGCACATGGAGAAGATCTCCATGCTGGCCTTCCACCCAGTGAAGATGCAGAGCTGCTATGAGAAGGTGGAGTGTCTGAGTCTGGAGGGTCTGCAGCAGAGATTTGACGTCTCCAGCCCGTCGGTGTTCGTCCAGAGGGCCCAGATCCTCATGAGAGAGGTGACGCTCTAACACAACTTTATACAACATTTTGATTGAATCATTTAATTAGATCAGGGACTGTTTTGGTCTTGTTCTCGAGCTTAGTACATGATTATGATTGAAATTAAAAGGACTTAAGGCCAGAACAGTAAAATATTTAATATTAAAGAATGTAAAAAAAAAAAAAAAATCCCTTAAAGAAGACATATTAAACCCCTTTTCCAAATTTTCAAACATTCCTCTGTGGTCTAAATGAAACATATGTGCTGTGTTTTGGTCAAAATATAACATGAATGAAGCACCAGAGGAGGTTTGTGACCCTGTATAAAGCAGCTCTCTCAGAACGCTCTGTTATGGTGTGTGTGTCTCTTTACATGCAATCAGCCCCCCCTTTGAGTTTTCCCGGTAGACATCACTCCTCTGTAGCAAGACTAAAAATGGCAGGGAGTTACCAGGGGAGGGGAGGGGATGGGATACCAGAATCCCACTGAGATGTCACAAGGAGAGCAAATTTGAAACAGAGCATTTTTCTGTGTTTTAAGACTCATGCAGACCACAAACAAAGGACTGGATGGGTTTATTTCACATTTTGTAGGTCTGTAGACACTCAGGTTAAGGCCCTGACACACCAAGCAGACTGGAAAGAACCAGTTGCAACGAAGGCCGCCTGTGGTGTCGGCGCATGACGCCTTTCGTCTTGGCCAAAAAGTCGCACTTGAACTCACCGCAAAGACTAAAGCCAACGGCCAACCACCACGTACGTTCTGCACATTAGTGAGAGGCAATAACTCTCTGTGCCAGCAGGGGGCGATAGTCTGTAATCGTCATTCCAAACAGGGGAAACCGGAGGAAGAACGCGGATAAATAAACCGTTGTTGTGATACGATAAGACAATTTTATCATCGCTGTCGCTCAACACTTGTAATATAGGTACTTCTAATCGAGAATAATGTCTGATAAAAAGTTGAAAATGGTACTGGCAGCCCTTGGTCTTTTATTAATGGAACAAGTATAGAGGAGGCGCTTCTGTATTTCTTCTCGTGCACTGGCTCTCCTGTTTCGCTTAGTTGAACAGCCAATCAGAGACATTCCTACTCCCAACCGCGCCTGCAATGGCTCATGGCAATTCAACATGTGGAAATTAAACAGTAAAACACTGGCGAGCGGGCAGCTTCCTGCTTTTGTTTTTCAGTTTACTGCTTTCCATCAGAATAAAATGCTGTGTCTCTTGCGCTTTCACAATGGCACCGCAATCTACTTGTGGCTTAAAGGCAACTCAATTTTGTCCATCAAATCTCTACACTTTTGTGTTTTTTACTTGTATTATTGTACACAGCCGTCCCCCTGCGGTCTTTGTCATTCTCAACATTGTTCCTCTAATAATAAAAAGGATTTAGTTTCAAGCTATAAAAAGATAAAAAGACACTGTTCTTCAGCGCACTCAGGACTCAATGAGCCTCAAACAAGAGACTCATTTAGAGTGATGGAGGAGTTGTGTCAGGGGCTGAATTGGAATAAGATGTTAAAGTTGATATTGCAAAGTCAAATATGCAGGAAAAGCAGAGTTTGTTAAAGTCTGTCTGTGTGTGTGGACAGATACATGAGAGCTGGAGACTTTTATGTTGCTGTTGTTAAGATGAATCAGCCCTTTAGAACGTTATTTAAAAACCTGAGGGAGAACTACATCAGTAGTTTGTTGCTATAGCAGCCAGGGAAGTAGAAAAATAAAAAAACATGCCATCTTAGAACTATTTCCATACTTTTAAAAAGAGTTAAAAACTGAAAGATTCAAGTCAAATATAATCAAATGTTTTTCTTCTTAGCCACCAAATCTCACATTTCTTCTCATTAATAGCCCACAGTCTTTAAATCATCGTCTCCAGTGTATCCAGACACAAGAATCCACTCTCTCTGACATGTCAGGCATGCCCCGCTCCCCGTGGAGAAATCACTTATCATGACCTCCTCTTTGGGGCCCGGGGCCAGGAAGAGGGGGGTCTGCACTTTAACTCCAGGTCATTCAGAGTTCAATTTCTGTTTCGAAACCACAAACTCAAACTGTGAAGCTGAAGCTGTTTCTCAAGTCCTACACTGTTGGAGAGGGAAAAAAACTCAAGTCTTTAACTCCAAAGAGACCAATCTCTCCAGGGTCATTGTTTGCATTTAGGTAAAAAAATAAATTAAAAAAAAGCATTATTTGCAACATAACTCTGAAAACATCAGTCTTTTATAAACATCAGCGGCTTTCAGGATGTTAATACATTAATATTAAATAAAATCCAAGAAAATAAATAACAGTAATTGAAAGTAGCAGTATTGTGTTTCTATTGAAAATGAATCTAAGGTTGTTTTGGAACAAAATGTTTGTTTATTTAGAAAAATCATATTTTAAAACTTAATTTTTTTAATTATTATTTATGCCACAGTTTTAGATACTTCGACAGAGTATTAAAGAACTTTAAAGAAAAACCTAATCTAAAATTCCCAGATAGTAGTTGTGCATTTACAAGAATAAAGTCATAAATCATCAGTCATTTATTTACTCTATTAAATTTGTAGATTGCTTTAAGGGGAATAGGATTATTCTTTATTGATCACCAGAGGGGAAATTCAGGTGTGGCCCGTTGTTTAAATGAGGCTATGGTTAAAATCATGTTTCTAAAGGTTGTATCAGAAGAGCAGACGTCCACCATGATGAAAGGAGAAAACTTAAAGACAAGACCATTTCCTCCAAGTCAGTGTGGTTCTTACTCCCCCGGTTTGTTGCAGTATCTATTCAGGGTCCTGATACTCCTGACACTGTGATGCTGATGCCTAAAGAGGGAGTAAATCCTTATTTATGAAACCTTTACTAAACTATAAGTTCACAGAATGCTACACGCTCTTCGTTTTCCTACAGGCTGCTGCTCTTCTGATATAACTATAGACTATAATAACCACTTCATTCTCTTACTTGAATGACTTTACTCTTGTAAATGTAAAACTATCTTCTCTTACCGCTTTAATGTCAAACATTTCCAAGTTTATTCTCGTAGATTTATGACTTTAATATTGAAATCTCAGATTTGTTTCCCCTTAATGTGGCCCTAATACTGTACTCCTTGGTAAAATACTCTATGGATGATATGGATTATTGACTTACAATATCTTTCCGTCTAGGTTGTGCAGATCCCAGGCTTGATTCAGTAAGACTGTTGGAGTCTTTATTTCTAATATGACTACAATAAAAGAGCCACATCTACAGATTTTCTGATATTCCCTCTTTTATTTAGTCATCAAATTCCAGTGAGCTGTCGGCTTTCAGTTCTGTTTATTTAGTTTGAACTGACATATTCTGTGTTTCCTTTTCCTTGGGATCAGGATGTTACACACACACAGATCTCAAAGTCAGCAGAACAAATTAAATTAAGGAAATGAAAATGAGGTCAATATTTGAGTTTTGTCGCTGCAGGGAGTTATTAGCTAATTTAACATGAAGCATTTAATGGTGGGACAGAAGTGCAGTGAGGTTATACGTTGTCCTTGTTTGAACTAAAACATGTTCCCAGAGATCTGCTCTCACTGTTTGGTGTAATGCACATCTGTTCATCCTGCATGTCGGCGTCACAGCTGATGAATTATGAAAAAAAAACATGATGCCATTTATCTCCAGGTTGTGTTACTTTCAAGAAAAACATTTTAACTGTAACTTCCTTAACTCCGGTTCTAAAAGCTGTGTGTAAAGTAGCATTGCATGAGGATGATGAGCGCCCTCTGGTGGTAATTTGGTAACTTGAATAGGAGAACAGTAAGTGATGAGGAGTTTAAATACAGGGCCTTGATTTGAAACAGATCATTAAACGGTGAGAGCAGGACAGGGTTCCTGTTAAGGTGCAGGTTACTGTATTTGTACTCAAAGGTAGATTTGTTTTGCGGTCAGAAAGATTGTGATGCCCATACAACACCTGTGGGAGCTGTGCAATATTATTTATTTTTCAAACTTCAATTGTATGAAAATGTCTTTCAACTATCCAACGAGTGTTTAAAAACTTGAAGTAGAAATAAAAAAGTGCTGCTTCAACAGTGTAAAACTTGCACATGCTATTGATACATCTGTTTAACTACTAATAAGTTAAAACTTCTATAAAAAAACATGTACATATATATGTTTGAAACTCAGTCTTTGTTGTGTGTTATTGTGTTCACAGCAAATGGACGATGCTGTGTACACATTTGAGCAGATCCTCCATCAGAGTCTGGAGGCTCAGGGTTCAGAAGAGCTGTGCAAGACCATCCAACGCTGCCAGGACAGGGTCATCAAGGTAACACACATGTACACGTACACACACACACACACACACACACACACACACACACACACACACACACACACCAAGAAGCAACCTGTGTTGTGTTAAAAAATAAAGCCGATGCAGTAGTGCAAAATCCTGCCGTTCTTCAAGGGTCCGCTTGATGCTGGTTGCTAAAGCACTGAAAGTCATACACACCGCCACCGCGTACAAAAGCCCGTTTACAGCAGAATTGAACATGTTCACAGCCTGGTTCATAAAAAGAAATACGTCTGATTAGCTTAAGTCTCGATTGGCACACACTGAGTTTTCTGATAACTCATCCATTTAAGTGTTATTCCTATAAAGGCGTGTAGCTGACCTGAATGACAGGTGGGTGGGTTTGCCAGAAAGCTTAAAACCCACCTCCGCTCCAGCTCTTAGACTGTCCTGACTGAAGGTTAGGGTTCACAGAGGTAATAATTATTTTCTTCTTCTGTTTTGTCTCAGAAATTTGACTATGATAGCAGCACGGTGAGGAAGCGTTTCTTCCGCGAGGCTCTCCTTCAGATCTTCATCCCCTACATGCTGAAGCAGCTCAGCCCCACCTGTTCCCCGGTGAGTCTCACACCTTCTTGTCACCCAACACCTCAAAAATTAAAGGAAATATTTTCATTCACCTATATGTTTTATTAAAGGTCACATATTAAGCAACACACATGTTACCAGTTTTTTCCTTACACTAATATGTGTCTCTAGTGTGTCTACAAAACCCGCCTATTATGAAAAAATTCCATCCTCTCTGTCTTTTGGCTGCTCAACTTTTCAGAAAATGTATGCTCAAACAGGCGTTTTCATCTTCCCTTTGTGACATCACAAAGGGCAGTAACCCCTCCCCCAGGTGGGTGACACTCCCACAGCTAGGTGTTTGTTCTGCCCTCTGAGTCTGCCTTCTCACCATGAACAATAGGACATGGAGCGAGAAAGCCCAAGCAACCCAAGCCCTTCCAGAGAGGGGGCGTGGTCAGACACAGCTCATTTACATTTAAAGCTACAGACACAGAAACAGCCTGTTCTGAGCAGGGCTGAAGTAGAGGGATTTATAGAAACTTCATAAAAATGTTTTGGGGAGCTCTGAGACTTAAACTTGTTGAAAAGGAGGATACTATGTGACCTTTAACAAAAATCATATAGAAATGTACAAAAGGTTTTTGCAGTAATGATTCCCCCTGGTATGTTGTTTGTTTGACTGTTACTGTTTTGAATACTAGGAGCTGCCGCGCTTCCAGGAGCTGATCTTTGAGGACTTTTCTCGCTTCATCCTGGTGGAGAACATCTTTGAGGAGGTGGTGCTGCAGTCAGTCATGAAGGACATCATGATGGGTCAGTCTCCACTTCATAGATTCACTGAGTTCTTTATACAGAAGATCCGGTCCCTGATTTACTGGGGAATTCTGCTGTATGCCGATCTCTTTATCTTTACTTTATTATTTGCATCATTGTGTCTTATTTTCAAATAGATATCAGACCAACTTTACCACACTAATAACAAACCATTTCTTCACCAAACAAAATCACATCGTTGGCATGAACACATGATAAAACACAAAGATGGAAGAGGGGGGAAAAATAGCAGCAGGAAATACCTGCAAGTTATTGAACGCTTGATCTTTTTTTTGTTTTCTTCCTTATTTTCCCATCTTAGAATTTTTAGTGCTGCAAAAAACAAAAACTCATCAAACTCAGACATAAAATGAGAACCATTGAGCTATAAATGCTTCTGCAGTAAACACGTTTTCTCAATATCGCTCATAAATATCCTCGTTTCCACTATAAATAATTCAAATTATGACATTTTATGGTCTCATTATGCTAAATACACTTCTCTATGTTTTCTAACACTAATATGTGTCTCTAGCTTGTCTTCAAACCCCCCAGTTATGAGAAAAGTCCATCCTATCCCTCTTTTGCCTGCTCCACTTTTCAGGAAATGTGTGCTCAAACAGGCTGTTTGGAGATTTTCTCCTTATGACATCACAAAGGGCAGTAACCCCTCCCCCTGGTGGGTGACACTCCCACAGCTAGGTGTTTGTTCTGCCCTCTGAGTCTGAGTCAGCGTAAACAATAGGACATGGAGCGAGAAAGTCCAAGTCAACCAAGCTATTCCAGATAGGGGCGTGTTCAGACACAGCTCATTTACATTTAAAGCTACAGACACAGAAACAGCCTGTTCTGAGCAGGGCTGAAATAGAAGGGTTTATAGACATGATCAAATACAGGATCAGAGTGGATTTAGAACAAGAAACTTCACAGACATGTTTTGGGGAGCTCTGAGACTTATTTACACTAGTTGAAAAGGACGTATAATATGTGACCTTTTAATTCTTGTTAATCAACATAATAACCTTAAATACCCAATGTATCATATATGATAAACACATTTTTACCTATAAAACCTACTGTATCAAATTTGATACGAACATTTTCAACTTGCTTTTACTATAAAAGAAGCCACAAAATATGTTGTTACTATATGCTGTCAATCAAGTAATTATCCGTATGCAGTATCAGCAACACTTCTTTACCTTTTAAGAATTGACAAAAATATTAATTAAGTCTCATTTTTAACGTTCCATACAAAGGTCCTATAGGGCCTGCGTGCTGTCCCCTGGTGGATTATCTGTGTGCAGCATGTGTCTGGTTGTATTTATCAGCGAAAAAGCAAAAATCTCATGAATTACCTAGAGGTAATTTCCCTTGATATGTACATATTTTGAAATGTTCTCTCTCCTTCTGTGTGCAGCTGTGAAGGAGGCAGCGGTGCAGAGGAGACACAACCTGTACAGGGACAGCATCGTCCTCAGCAACAGTGACCCCAGCCTGCACCTTCTGGGAGAAAACCCTTCCATCGACTGGGCAGGGGAGTACGGAGGAGCGCAGGAGGAGGTGGACGGAGCAGGCGAGGAGCCTCAGGGTGATGCTGAGGCAGAGGGTGAGGGTGGGGCGTCTCAAAAGAGGAAGAGGATGAAGCAGGTGGTGTCCATGATCCAGGAAGAGGGATCCCCAATACCACCCAGGGAGTCATCTGTGGAGGTGCCTTGCGTCGATGACATCATGGAGGAGGACGGAGAGGAGGAGGAGGAGGAGGAGAAGGAGGAGAATTCAGAGGAAAAAGATTCTCTTCAGCAGAACGGACCTGCAAGTCCTGAAGCATCAGAGATGCCTTCAGACGTATCAAAGAGTTCAGAGCTTAAGGAAGTAAAAGCAGAACCTGAGGGTAAAGAAGTCCTGCAGGAGGCTGAAGCTCCTACAGAAAGCTCTTCAGCTGCTGAGGAGAAAGGTAAAGGAGAAGACAACCAGCCAGCGATGGAGGAGGAACCAGCACAATGCAACCAGGTAGAGTCAGAGGAGGTGCTTCCACCGCCACCTCCTTCTGAGGAAACCCCGTCTGAAGCTACAGGACCCAATCCAAAGGAGACTTCAGACTTCCCCCCGCCTCCACACGACGACAGCGGCTTCCAATCTCCCTGCAGCGACGTGGGGGAGGAGCAGGAAGAGGAGGTGGCACCCAGTACAGAAGCCCCACAGCCTGCTGCCGAGCACCCTAAGGAGGCGCAGCAAGTGGGTGAGCCACAGGAGGAGGTGGCACCCAGTACAGAAGCCCCACAGCCTGCTGCCGAGCACCCTAAGGAGGAGCAGCAAGTGGGTGAGCCACAGGAGGAGGTTGTGGCCCCTAGTACAGAACCCCTACAGCCTACTGCAGAGCACCCTAAGGAGGAGCAGACTGGTGAGTCACAGGAGGAGGTGGCACCCAGTGCAGTAGCCCCACAGCCTGCTGCAGAGCACCCTAAGGAGCGGCAGACTAGTGAGCCGGCTACACCAGAGGCAGAAAGCAAACGCAGTGACTCTGAGCCCACCGAGCAGTGATGAAAGGATTTCTGCGTCTTTACATGAACTCAAACCTGCCCTGTTTTCTGGGTTTTATCTTCTGGGTAAGAACGATGATTCAACCAGTTTCCACATCAGTTACAGACATCGTAAAACTTTGGCTCTGGTGCTGTCATCATGGTTTTAGAATTTCTTTTTTTTTTTTTTTCCTATCAAATGTTCACAACTTTGCAGAAAATCCCAAACAAGGTCTGACCTTTCATTTCACACAAGTTCCACACTTAGTTTTCTCTTCACCTGGTATGAATGTGAGCACAAGAGGAGTTCCTAATGGTGATTTATGAGCATGTGACAGGTTGCAGCCTCAGTTCAGGTGGATTTGGTTTAAAAAAAAACAACAATGTAAATTAATTCTTAAACACACATGTAAAGTCTTCAGTCTTTTTTTTTAACTGCAGTGTGGCCTTTGAGTGCTGTCAGAAATTTAGCTTTTTTTTAAATATTTCTTCATGTAAATATAAGTTCTGTTATCAGACACCTACCTACTTGATTATTATTGGACCTAATTGACAAACAGAATATACTTTACATTATGCATTATAATTGTCTTGATGTGATGTCTGACGACTTGACAATTTCTTTTGTGCCGTTGGGAGGAACACGATTGTATCCCGTAACAAAGAAAGCTTGTGTATATTTTGTATAAATGTGTCTTTGGACCCGCCAACATCAAACTGTCATTTTACATCATTTTATGTTTTCCTTCATGTCTCTGCTGATTTCTACACGCCCTGTTTTATTTATTTTTTCTGCACCCTGTCTCTTTTTTGAACAATGTCCTTTTAGATTTATTTTACCTGTGTGTATGTATGATAATAAATCACTATTGATTAATTATTATATGCTTGTTTTTATGGTCTCTGTTGTTGCTGCTAAAGTCATGGACGGTGTATGACATTCACACACACACACTCCTAGTTAACACACACATCTCCAGCTGACTGCCTTTGATTCTCTTGAAGAGACTCCTAGTTTTGTTGGTCTTTTAAAAATCACACAAGGCCAGATACTTTGTTATCATCCATTTTTTTCAAATACAAAAATCATTACATTGAGCTTATACTGAATGAGCAGACTTCAGAAGTTTACTCTGATTGCTTCATCTAATAAGACATGAAACTGAATATCCAGGCCCGGTTCTTGAAAAGTGATCTAACAGAGTGAAGCTGTCGGATAGATTCAAATGTTGATATCAGGTTGTTCAAAAGAAACAAAGGATGTAATCAGATAGGATTAGGCAATCCAAATGTGGTTTTAATTCAAATAAGACGTCCGGTTGTTCCAAACTTGAAGGATTAGTTTTCCTTTAATCCAAAAATATTTGCCCAGTATTTTTACACTGGCTGGCGTCTCATTTATAACTGTTGAGTACCCACAAAACGGTGCCTAAAACTGGTGTACGCCATTTCCCACGCAAAGTCTGTGATCTATAAAAACAAACCTGATGGAATAAGGGGGCTGATCTATGTATGCATGTTTCCAGGTGGATTGTGATTTATAAAGGGATTTTTTTACCCAGGTGTGCTTACAAACGGTTTTATAAATCTGAATTGTTTGGGCGCACGTTAACTTTTAGTATGATTCTCTGTTTGAGACCCCTGAATTCTTTCAGGTAAACATTAGGGTTTTAAAACAATCAAGGATTTTTCCTCATTCCTTCTATTTCACAAAGTTGCACCAGTTCATGAGGTTATGATGTGATCTGCATTACTGTTTTCTTGCACAACTAAATAGAATGGAAGCCATTACATGTGCATTAAACATGTGCTCCCACTGTTTATGTTTTGAAAGGATGTATATTCATTCATTCATGTATTTATTTGAACCTTTACAAAGCACATTAAGGGAGAACAATTTCAATTGTGCCGAATCACACGTCACAAAGGTAGACAAATAATGTCATCAGAGAAAGATATAGAGTAGTGGGGAAAAATAATACATTCATAAATTAGGAGGTCAAAGGGCAAGCATGTAGAGTAAAATAGAGAAATAATCACTCGGATGATATGAAACAAAAACTGTTCAAATTAATGAGATCAGAAATTAAAACTTGGAAATGTGGTTAGGATTTCTGAAAGTGTTTCATGCAGGCTGTGCATCAGTCTTGACTCACATTATGCACTTTACTTTTCTGCCACTAGAGGGCGCTAAAGCATAATCCACGTGTGGTCAATTTTGTACTTTTTATTCACAGCTTTTTTTGAAACTACAATAAAATATCAACACTTCGTGTTTCAGTTACACAGTTTTCACAGCGATTATTTTTCCGGTATAACATTTTTTTCCTGCAAAGTGAAGGATGTACAGAGACCCAAAGAAATCATGGGAAGGAAAAAAAAAAAAAAGTTTTACATGGCACAAGAAGGTTCTCACACTACTTTCTAGTGACTCCTAGAATATATATTGTGCACACGCAATACCTCAATACCTGGTGGCAATAAGAAGGGTAGTTTCAAGTGATATAAATGAATGTATAACAAAAACTTTTTTTTACATCTGTAGAAAATATATTTAAATAGTATTTGACCCTGTGATGAAAAAGTACAATCAGCTTGTCACCTGAGCAGGTTTGAAGAGATGTTTTATTAAATAAAAGAATCAAATATTTCCATAAAATGACATTGAAATAGATAAAGATATATTTTTCTACATTCAGTTGTCTCGACTTTTGAAATCTGAAGTTGTCTATTCAGGAGTGGTGCCTGCTGAAATGATAACATCTGTCTTTAACCTGCAGTCCTCTAAACTAATATTTGCACCATGACGCAACCTTCTTCAAATAGCCTATTGAACCATTTGCACATTCCATCTCATCTGTGCTGCATGGGTAGATTTTATTGATTTATTATTTATTTCTATTGACAATGGACAGAGAATAACAAACAGAGGGATCGATGCATTCCTTCTAGATTGCATCCTGCCCATACTGTAACTTCATAAAAAAAAAAAAAAATGTAATTTCTGCATGTAGGCAGGCGGTCTGTGAGGGTTTACTCTGTGAATCAGTCCCCTTTACTACACAGCGGTGACTCATTTTTAGTCGGTGGGTGTGTGCGGCACCTGAAGGCAGCACAGCGTGCTGACGTCTCGATCGTACGTGCCTCTGCCACAGCTCAGCAGAAGAAACCACAGTCAGAGAGAGCCAGCAGCCAGTGATCGGCGAACATCCATGTCGCAGGTAGTCGGTGGAGAGAAGACAGTCTGCGGCAGAAACACAGCGGGGCTCCGGCTTCTCTCTGCTCCTGCAAACAGCAGCTCCTGAACCGACCCGGGGATTGTTTTTTTCCTGTTTCATTCCGTCTTTTTCTGAGTCCTCTACCTCCTCCTCGGACACCAAGGGATGGGGGAATGATCAGCACCGACTCCCCCTCGCCTCCTCCTCCTCTTCCTCATCCTGCTTCCTCGGTCGGTGTCCGTCTCTGTGCCCAGGATGAGGGCCCCGCTGCTCGGCCAGGCTGCGTTGTTTGCGGCCCTGTGGGCGCTGAGCACCTGCCTGACAGGTGAGAGCTGCTGCTGCTGACACACACACACACACACACACACACACACACACACACACACACACACACACACACACACACACACACAGAGGCTGGTGGTGTGTGTCTGTGTGTTTATTGTGATGTTGGTCCTCTGTAGTGACCACCGCTTTGTTTTTTTCTGTTTCCTGTGTTTGGTGAAAACGCTAAAATGACCTCCATGTATTCAGTGTTGTTGATGACTTCTTACAGTGCAGTATATCAGAGGCTTTACTTCTGTGGCAGTCAGCACATTGTTGGAAAATGACCTTCTCATGCCTTATTGTTGTGCTGTATCTCATGTCCTGTGACTAAGTCTAAGTGGACTATAAATATCATAAATGTAGGCTTTACAGCAGTCACATTTGTCAGCAGCTTGAATTATTTAACCACCAATAAACATACCACAAAGTGTTTTAGGCTATAGAAATTACTTTCTCCACTTTGGTGACCGAAACATTAAAACTAATGAAAGGAACAGTTATCACCAAAACATCTGTAGCCTATTTTACTAAAATGGTAGATGGTTATTTTTGAGAAATATATATGATTCATAAAACAAAAATAATTAAAGCCCTGATAAAATGAGGTTTCTATATTTGGAAAAGGACAGACAATGTTTAAAATAATTGTCCTTTAACTGTAACAAACTCAGAGGAACTAATACCGAAGTGAAAATATGTTTATTCTGCTCCGATATGTTGAGTGAAACATTTTGAAGGTCTTGTTTTTACTGACTTGTTCTGATCTTCACAGATCAGATCTTTCAGAAATGTCATGCTGCTTGGTTTTAAAGCTCAAATGATAAGTTATTGGCTTTCAATGTTTTATCATCATGACTCCTCTGATCCTCAATAGTTCTGGATTTAAACACAAAAAACAATTTTGGTAGGAAAGCTTTTTCCTCTTCTAAAACATGATTCATGTTTTAGTATTCAATTATTTATCAGTTTATCCAATAAAAAATGACCCAATAATCCAAGACTGCAATTACTGTTATCTTAATTATCAAGATGAAAAGATTGCCTCAATAAGCAAACAAAAAGATTTGTCTGCAAAATCATGAAGCTGGAAAAAACATCTGTAACAGTTTTCAGAAGCAAACGCATGGTGATCTCTTCAAACTGATGTTTTTTTGGGATAGTTTTTTTCTAATAATGAAATAAAAGAATAATTTTAGCTCTAGAATATATAAGTAATCATTATCTTAACAGTGGAGTTTACGTGACAGGCACATTTTAAGATTGTTTAAAGAGAGATTACTGAGATCTGATTTGAGGAAACGTTTTCTTCATTCAGTCTGCTCTGACTTTTTTTTTGAGACAAATCTTCATCCTTTGTTTATATCACAGCCGACTTGTCCTCAGATGATGGGTGTTGTAGACTGATATTTAAGGACAGAAATATTACAAATACAGATAATAGCTTCAGGCTTCTCCTCGTGGTGACGTGGGCATCTGTCAGAGAGCGCGTTCAGAAATCACATGAGACAGAGAGGTGGGAAAAAAAACCAGACTCCGATTCAGAGTCAGGGGAATGAATGGATGGGAGAGGACGCGTGTCAGAGTCTTTACCTCGTTTATCTCTGCTGAGGTGTCAGCTGTGGTCTGCTTGTCCTCACAAACACATTCCTGCTGTGAGTCTGAAGAGTCCTCCATCACCAACAACGTCACAGTTTATTCTCAGACACTCTTTTTTTCAGAGGGGAAACAGCAGAACTGAGGTGTCACATTATTTTCCAGACACACACACACACACACACACACACACACACACACACACACACGCACACACGCACACACTTTTCTTTGTCTGCACCACAGTAAAGTGAATAGTCTGTAGTTGGACTATGATGTGACACTTCTGTATGACTCACTAAAACAGAGAGAAGAAGGGGGATTCATCCTGGTTATGTGTGACAGTCCTAAATTAAACACAACAAAAAACTAACAGAGCCAGAACTGAATGGAAGTAAAATAGCTTCTTAATCAAAATAGCATAATTACTAATTATTTAATTTCAAGCTTCTAAAGTCAGGATGTATAGTGGAAAGCAAAGTGCAGGTCCTATTTCATGTGAGTGTTGTTAAATGAAGCCAATGTGGAAGTTCAAAAAGCTGCATTTCCTCGTGTGTCCACTAGAGGCTGCCTCCTTCTGTGAGTCAATCCCCATAGAGCCCCATGTTAAAGTGTCAGCAGAAAGAAACGCCTGGTACAAAAACAGTTTTGGTCTTTCTAGCTCATTTCTCTTTTCATGACAAGTGTACCGGCTGTATTTGTATACAATGACCTGTTTTCATTTATATTAAGGTTAAAGTGATGCTAGCTGCTAGCTGTCTTGCTAGGTGTCACCTCAGCCCCCCGCTGGCCAAACCAAAACAGGTAGAAATGATCTGTCTCTCTGTGTAGTTTATGATACTGAGACCATCTCAGAAGTCTAGACCGAAGCTTTTCCTCTGTGAGAGAAACTCTAGTTTTATTGTTTTTATATTCTGGTACTAAACAGCAGGTAAACTAGACTCCCTTTGTCTGGCTTGTCAGCTTTCATTGTTTATTTTATGTTTCTTGGATCATTAGACAGCGCAGGAGTCATATAGTTTTTGTCTTTTCCCCAGAGATATACTCTGGTTTGTTGTTATTTTCAGATACCCAGATCATGTCTTCACTCACTGCTCTCTCAGCGTGAGGCAGGATAGCGAGCGGTTTGACTGCTATTTTTAACAAGCTCTCTTCTTCAGTTTGATAAAATTAACAACTGTGTTCAGAAACTACCGCAAAGGGAATCTCACTCTGTTGGAAACATAAGGACCAACCACAGACTAGCCTGCTCATTCGCCTGTTGATAAATAATCTATGAGAGTGGGTTGTTTAACTTTGATTCCTGGCATTAACCCCTCGCTTCTCTCTGGCTCCTCCCTCTCCATGTATACTCTCTCTCTCTCTCTCTCTCTCTCTCTCTCTCTCTCTCTCTCTCTCTCTCTCTTGTGGTCATGTTCTCTGCCTTTCTCTCTGAAGCGAGAGAGAGTGTGAGACAACTTGAATGATGGGATTTCAAAGTGCCTCCATCCCTGTATTGGTGTCCAATATGATCTCCTTCGCTACCTTTTGCCCCACCCCCCCATGTTGTTTTTCAACCAATCGGATTAATTTAATGAAACTTTTGCAGTTTGGACCTCAGCATAACAAAACATGTGACAGAAGAAAGAAACAGAACAAAACAAACATGTTTAAAAAAACTCTTCATTGACTTTTTGACACCATTTTTCTTCCATGGCACACACTCGCGACCCCACACAACGCGACCCACTGAAAACAGCTCCGGGAACAACTTTTGGGTCCCGACCCACCAGTTGAGAACCACTGATCTAGAGTGTGGTGACTCCTGTTAATGTCTTTATTTCAGCATTGTTTCATTCCTCCTGCACTTGCACAGTTGTTGTTTATTTCTAATAGTTGAACTCAGTTACATGCACCATGTCAGCCGTGAGAGAAGTGATGTCTGCGAATACTTTGACGAAAAAGATGATCATAATGTGCCGTGCCAGACATGTGGCGTTAAACTTGCATGTCATAGACCTGCTGGTTTGATGCTCCGCCACATGAGCTTAAAGCACAAAGAGAAACCAGCAGAGACTGGAGATGTGCTCCCATTCAGTTTTGTGATGAAGAAGCTTTTTTTTAGTGTGGGACTACTTTCTGCTGTGGATTAATCTCTAGTGAGTATTTCTAATAGTATGTGGTATTGGGTGAAAATAATGTGCAGGTAATGGTGATAATATCGATAATGAAACATGAAACCGAGAGCAAAAGCTGGTTTCATTGATTCTTTTTTTTTTGTGTACAACAATGGAGCTCTATGGCAACCGTCTCCGTGGAGAAAATGTTTCTATAAGAGAGGGTTACATAAGTGATGTCAATGTTCACAGGGTATTGTTCAGAAATAACCTGGTATCTCAGCTTTTTATGAAGAAATTAGAGCTTGTGAGTTCTCATCCAGATGACCAGCGGGAAAGTCTCCAAAGATAAATCTTTGTTCGTTGGTCAGGCTTTGTGAAGCTCCTGCTCATTCAGCTGAGCCGAGGGTTTGTGAGGTGGAGTTTTGGGCCTCAGGCTTGGCTGCGGTCCCTGATGAGCTAAAACCAGGCTTCCACTCAGGCTAATACACCACACATAACCTGATTAGGGTCTGTGTTGGGGGGGCCAGTGATGCTGCTTGCTCGGCTTTTTCTTTTTAAAGGATGTTCTGTGCTGCTGCTGCTGCTCTGCTATAAAGGCCTCTTTCACTAATAGCAGAATGAAATGTTTATGAGTGTAATCTGTTACGACTTATCATAAAGAAAACATAGAAATTCACATTTAAAGAAGATAAAGTTGTGAGTATCTTTTTCTTTCTAGACAATCAGGGTGTTTGCTGATTGCACATTTTGAACATGGAGGCTCAGATGGTTTATGTCTCTCAGTCTGTATATTTCTGCAGCAGTTGCATTAGTTGTATTGGCTCAGTGGAGGTCCCTCAAAGATTTAATACAGCTAATTCACTTACAGATCCCATGCACGAGGATTTCCTGACATGACTATTAATTACTCCTCAGTTTATTCATACTTGGAGAAGACCCTGTGTAAAAACCACTGAATTTCAGAATATCAGTTTATTATTCTTCTACATACAAATAAAAAATCTTCTTAATGAAGAGTTAGGTTGCCAAGTTTGGTATTATTGTTCTGCTACAAACACAAACCCTGAAATTAATCTGGTAACCGAATTATACCCTGAAAAAACTCAAATCTTAGCCAGTGTATTTGTCTGATTTTATAAGACACACTCTTGCGACAAGTCTACATACAATTCTGTCTGTACACTTACTTGGACCTGGCAAGCTTGGAAGAGGTGTCCTTTGGCACGGTACAGTTCATGCATGGGTACACAACGTGGACAGCCCTCCATTATTGAGAAATCCCGAAGTGTTCTGTCTCTACCTGACT